TGAGACAATGCGATCAAAAGAAAAAATTTAAAACTTTTTAATTTAATTTTATGAGCGAATTTTGTAATCAGTAACACATGAATAGCAACATTATTTAAAGCACTAACCAACATATTAACGATGGTGAAAAATGAGTTAACGTTGGTAGAAGTTTTAGAGCCAAGAGCAACAAATACACCGACGACAACAATCACCGAAAAGGCTACAAGATCCAGTGATTCCCAAAAAAAGTGCCTCTGCAATTTAAAACATATGATTGACGTATAAACGTTTCTTCAGAAACCAAGCTAATAAATAAAAAAAGAGAATAGATTATAGTAGTTTTTAATATCGACCATTTTATTTTGCTATTCTACAGTTCATTTTGATTACAAAAACCTGTTTCTGACAGTGTTAAATATTTTCTCATTACTATAACTACTTCTTTCATTTTTTTCCGCTATAAATTTGCTTCACCAATATACTTACTATATTTCCAAATGTAAAGCCTTCTTGTGCAAGATGCGATGTATATGGCACATAATCGCCAAACAGTGACCGTAAATAACCTGACCATGCTCGTGCTATCGCTAAATTTAGCAGTTCATAGACAGCCTATATATGACAAGTAAATCGCTTAACATTTCATAAATTTTCCCTTCTCTGTAGTCTCCACAAAATTTGCAAACATTTCGGGTTTTTTATCTACTACACTTGCAACTGTGACCATATAATAGCAGTATAATATTAAAAGTTAAAAAAATTAACAAAAGTAGCTGACATCGAATACTCTTTACAACACTTCTCCTCCATTCACTTATGTTGAGCAGTTGTCGTACATGTTTTCGCCAACAATAAAAATTGGTCAAGTCATACACTAGCAGTTAATTTTACGAAACTACTGAACAAAAATACAAATAGTAGAAAAAAATTTGGCAAAAGGTAGAAAAATAAAGGCGAAGAACTTCAAGAAATTTACATAGCTACAGAATGAAAACATTAAAACAAACCAGCAGCTCCTAGCATATGCTCCAACACTACATTCCATCCAATAATAAACGCCCATAATTCACCAACACCAATATATGCATAGGTGTATGCACTTCCAGCTTTTGGAAATCTATAACAAATTAATTTTTATCTTCTTCTTTCTTTATCATCTCTTCTAAAACAAGTTTCCAAAAAGTTTACCACTCTTTGTTTTACAAAAAAAAAA